TGGGGGAAGGGCAGGCTTGTGGGGGCTGCCTGAGGCTGGGGCTGGAAGAGCAGGGGTCCGTGGGGTCTGTTGACAGGATGGGAAACGCCCAGTCCTGGGCTCGTTCCGAGGGAGCTGTCAAGTGCATGTGCGTGTGAGTGTGAGTAGGCACGTGTGGACACATGCATGCCTGTTGCTCTGGAAGCTACCACCCACATCCCTGAGCCGCTAAAGCCCCTTCCACTGACCTCCAGCCCGATTCCACCCCTGAGCACAGCAGGCATCCCTCATCTTCACTGCTGGGGGCGGGAGGTGGTGGTGACATTACTACTACCCATTTGCAGAGGGCCTGTCCATGCCGGAATCTCAGAGGGAGTTGTTAAGAAGCCGAAGATGGGGCATTAAGTCTCAAAGCCAGGTGGTCTGGGTTCCGGTCTCAGCTAAGAAAATCTGTATCTGGAAGAGAGATCTACATTTCACCATAGGTGGGCAGTGGAACTGAGTGTCCCCCAGCAATGAATAAAGAACTCATGGATGAGGCACACAAATGCTGGTTCACTCTCCAAATGGCCACAATAGTTAGGGCTGGGCCAGGCCAAAGGCAGGGCCACTGCCTTCCCAGACACATTAGCAGGGAGCTGGATTGGAAACAGAGCAGCCAGGACTCGCATCGATAGCGATAGCATTCCCGTATGGGATGCCAGCACTGCAGGTGGCGGCTTAACTCACTGCCCCAGAATGTCGGCCTCTATATGCTCCTGTTTAGACAGGATGCTCTAGACCCTGTAGGGTAGATGGGAGAATTCGTGGAGTGGACATGGGTGACAAACACGAGCTCAGGAACTCTCCCTCACGTCTGCCCTCCCCTTCCCTACTTCTGGGCCCCCTTGTTGGCCGTAAGAAACTCCAAGCACAGAGCAGCTGCTGTGGGTATGTGGGGCTGATATGTGGATATGTGGACCATGCTAGCCCTGGCCCCTGCCTGACCCCTGCTGTGCCCCGGAGCGCAGCCTTCACCTGTCTCCAGTGTACACCCTGACTAGGCACAATGTGACCTGGAGCCCCATGTCCCCCTGCAGATACTGCCTGTTAGGACCAGGTGAGGAGTTTGGCAGTGGATACCCAGGGTCTCGGTGTCGGTTCAGGTTTTCTTGTAAATCTCAGCACCATGTGTTAGTTGCTCAGCCTCCCTTTGCTGATTTTTCACAAGTGAAGGGACAGTGCACCTGCTCGAGCATCCGGGCCTTCAGAGCCCAGCACAGCAATGTTCACCAAGTCCGTGTCCACATAACCAGCACCCAGATTAGCGCACAGAGCACGGCCTGCTCGCAGCCTCCCTCAGCCCCTCGCTCACACACACAGGCTCACCACCGCACTGGTTTCTAGCACCCCCATCGCGTATGTCTGCTTTTCTTCTTTACATCGGGGATCCAGGAGATCTGTGCGCCTGGCCTCTTTCATGCCACATAATTTGTGAGCTTCAGCCATGCTTTTTGCTGTTAGCAGTAGTTTATTTTTCAATTATTTATTTACTTATTGGAAAGTCCAAGACAGAGAGAGAGAGAGCGCGCGCGCGAGCGCACAAGCCCATCCACTGGTTCACTCCCCTCACATACCTGTGGTGGCTGGGACTGGGCCAAGGCAAAGCTAGGAACCACGAGCTCCATCCAGGTCTCCCATGTGGGTAGCAGAGAGCCAAGTACTTGAGCCATCACCTGCTGCCTCCCAGGATATGCATCAGCAGAAATTTGAATGGAAAACAGACCTGGGACTCAGACCCAGGCACTGCAATGGGATGCTTGCGTCCCAAGAGGCATCTTCAGTGCTAGGCCTGTTTGTTGATTTTTGTACGGTGCAGTATTTGACAACATGGTCATATCATCATTTCTCCCTTCTCTGCTGACCGACACCTGGGCTGTAGGGTCGTTTGGGCTGCTATAGCAAAGCACCACAGTCTGGGTGTTTCACACAGTTCTGGAGGCTGAAATTCCAAGACCCAGGTCCCAGCACAGTCAGGTTTTGGTGTGGGCTCTCTTCTTGGTTGCAGATTCCCAGCTTCTTGCTGTATTCTCACATGATGGAGGGAAGGCGAGGGAGCTCTGAGCAGTCCCTTTTATAAGATCACCATCTCTTTGATGATGGCGCCACCCGCCCTCACAACCGGATGAGCTCCGAAAGCCCCCTCCTCATCTGAAACCTCTCACCATCACCTTGGGGTTCAGATTTCAAAGCATGAATTTGGAGAGGACACAGATATTCAGTCCATTGCATGTCGGGACTCTTAACAAGCAGGCTTCTATGAACATTCCGGTACACTCCGGTACATTAGGGGATGAAATGTGAGTATGCATGTCTAGTGGGCGCATACCTGGGAGGAAAGGACTTGCTGGCTGGGGACCATTTGTCTGTTTCACTTTAATGGATGTAGCAAACTGAAGTTGCTACAGTTTCTGCTCCCAGCAGGCAGCCTGGCTTTGTCCAGCAGCTCCAGGGGCCAGGGAGCCGGGAGAGGAGCTGATGCTGGGTGGGAGCAGAGGTGGAGATGGGAGGCGTCTGACTCCTGCGTGGCTACCGTGCAGGAGCCCTGGGTGTCTTGGAGCCTGTTGGGATGCTTTTCGCCGCTGTCTGCAGTGGGGCTGCTATTTTCTGGGCTCTGGCCTGTAATGAGTGTAGGTGGCTGTTCAAGAACAAGTATCCAGGGGAGGGAATCCACCCACAGTCTCTGCCATCCGAATATTTAAATGTCAATATGGCTTAATTGGCTGCTCAGCCCACCCTCCCTTCTCCTCTCCTCCAGCAGCCACAGCAAACACACTGCCTTGGACAGCAGCAGGGCTGGGGGGCAGCCTTGAGTCATCCTGGCTGCTTCCTGCTGACTTACAGGGCGACCTTGGGCAGCTGAATCAGAGTCCCTGTGAATCAGCTATCCTGAGACTCTCACCTTAAGCAGGTGAAGAAACAAATCATAGACAAAGATCCTGGATGGTTACAAGTAGCATGTGGGTAGTGTAGATGGCTGGATAGAATAGACAGGTTGGATGGATAGATGGGGTGGACGGAAGGATGGATGAACTGATGGGTGGATGGAAGGCAGGCAGGAGAGCTGGATGGGTGGAAGGATGGGATGGGATGGGATGGGATGGGAGGGAGGATGGATGGAAGGATGGATTGGATGTTTGGACAAATGGGTGGATGGATGGGTGGATTGTGGATGGATGGATGCATGGGTGAGTAGGTGTGGGGATGGAAGGAAGGGGGGATTGATTGGATGGATGGGATGGGTGGAAGGCAGGCTGGATGGGTAAAAGGATGGGATGGGATGGGAAGAAGGAAAGAAGGGGAGAGAATGGTGGGAAAGGAAGGGAATGGAAGGGAAAGATTAGGGAGGGTTGGTGGGAGAATGATGGATGGATGGGATGGACGGATGGAAGGAGAAAGGAAAAGAAAAGGAGAGGAGAGGAGAGTGGATAGATGGGTGGAAGGATGGGATGGGATGGACAGATGGAAGGAAGAAAGGAAGGAAGGGTGGGTGAGTAGAAGGATTGGATGGACAGATGAGTGGGTGAGTGAGTGGGTGGAAGGATGGGAGGGGATGAATGGATGGAAGAACAGATTATAGATATATGTGTGTAAAGATACCACTTATATATTCGTTCACAGTATATGTTCACTGTTGTATTGATCATTTATTACCTTTGACAACAGCCAGCATTTTATGAGAACATCGTGTGAGCTGGGCACAGGTGGAAATACGCCTGCATTTCTATGTGCCTGACTGCGCATGGCGCTCCCAACATCCCTCTAGGACAAAACCATCAGCTACAATTTAGAGGACGACACTGAGACTCAGAGGGGTTAACTCACCTGCCCGGGCTCACACAGCCAGCGCATGATGGGTCAGAATCCTAAGCCGTGGTCTGGCTTTAGGCCTCCGAGCCTCTCACTTCCATGCCATGCTGGGCGGCAGGCAGCAGGCGCTGTACTGAACTTTTATCTCACACCAAACCACAAGGTCTCCTGTGACGGGTGAGGAGACTGAGGCCGAGAGGTGAAGCCTCCCCACCCCCCCGCCAAAGTAAGGGGCAGAGCCGAGACTGGGGCTAAGACCCTGCTACCAGAGTTCCCGCTCCACCCACAGAGAATGCGAGCTCCGAAAAGGCTAGTGCACATCAAGGCCTCCCTAAGCACTACCCGAATCAATACAATTCCTACAGGATTTTTGTAATAAAATCATAGATTAAAAGAAAAAAATCAAGCGGTGATTTTGATGCAGATGGGAAATTAATGTCCGTAATGGCATTCTGCTTTCAGCCAACATTGGATAATGTGTCATTCATTCACTCATTCAGTCATTCATTCACTCAGTGACTGCCGACTGAGCGTCTGTCCTGTGTGTGCTACCACACGGGGTGGCTCAGTCCACGGGTCACTCACCAAGAAGGTGTTGTGTTCACTGCATACTGTCCTTTTTCATCCTGTCATTCACCTCAAACCACTGGTCCTCGAAATGAGCTCAATGAGGCTGAAAATAGTTTGAAAAACCCCTCTGTCTTGAGAGGCGCTTGGGCTTCGGGTCGTATTATTGGTGTTTACACACCCCTGTCTAACAGCCTCAGCGCATCACTTGCTGTTGATAGTACGCATCAGCCGCCGCCCTGCTGGTCTTTCATCACTGTCGCCCTGTGCCCGTGACGCCAGGTGAGTGGGAGCAGCTGGGACGGACGGCCACAGAGCGCTCTCTGGGAGACATTGAGAACCCAGGGCCTGTTGGTTTGCACACAGCCTGGCTCCGGTGAAGCCGCGGGACAGCCTGGACAAGGCAAGCCTATTTCTGGGTGCCCTGAGTGCCCTCGTCTGCCAGGAAGCTGGTGACATTCCCGAAGAATGCATCAGACCCTCCTCCCCAGTCTTCATCCGAGGCATGCCGGCGGCGTGTCCCCTCAATGATTTGTCACTTGTCATAACCACCATTGAGTCTCCTTATCGACCGCCACCGTTGACCTTGTCCTCTTGCTTTTCAGCCTCTGTAAGGGACGGACGCTCTATTCTGTGGTCAGGGACGCCAAGATCGTCTTAGACGTCAACAAAACCAGGCAAATTGCCCAAGAAATTGTGAAGGTACAGTAGGCACTCCGCCATTCTCCTTGCATCTCGGAGAGAGTCCCACCCCACCCCACCCCAAATCCCGAGCAGCGCCCCCACCAAGCTCCAGAGTCTCAGTCCAGCTTCAGACACCTGTCTGGACTTCAAAGAAATTAGACTTGACCTGAAGATACTGGAGCCTGGAGACGTAAGAATTCCCCATGGACATGACCATGGGCAATGTGTGGATTCATCTGGTGCCTTATCACCATGATACTGGCCCTGTGCAGGGCATGGTGCCCACACATAGGCAGCTCAGGTCTCCTGGTTAGGAGCCCTTAGCCCTTGAGTCCATAAATTCCCATGAATACCAGCCACCATCTTCACAGTTGCTGGGGAAACAGCAGATTGCTGGGTGTTGTTTGGGATTAAAACAAGCAAGAACATCCAGTTTTTCTGACAGGTGCCTTGTAAGTCCGTTGTAAGTGGGCTTTTATTTCCCATTGGAACTGTTAGGACTGAGCTGTCAGAAGGAATAAAAGACATAAATGCTCACACAGAGGACAAAACCTCCAGGTGTTCAGCCTTGAACCAGACCTCCAATGGACTCTGCTGTGTTCTTGATGACTGGGTCACGTGCCGTCCCCTGGGGGGCTCGGGGCACTCTGCAGTG